CCATCCCAGTCAGCGGCCTCTCCCCTCGAGGAGAGCCCGCACTCCAAGTTTCTCAAGTATACGGAGCTGGCCAAGCAGTTGTCCAGCAAGTACGTATAGTCCGAGCCCCGTAAGTAGCGGTGCCACTTGTACATAAGTGTATCTATACTGTAACGACTGTAACTCGCTAGTTACGCGATTCGACACCATTTCACCTCCTTCGCGACGCACCTCCGCCACTCGGCCATCCATCCTTTTTTTCTCCGACCTTGGTCGATTTCGTTGCCCGGTCGCGACGGCTCTCCCCTTCCACGCCGAGAGAGAGAGATAGAGTGTCGCGGCTGGACAATCGACCGACGGGCAACGGAGGATATCCAGGTGGATATCGAGCGTGTGCGTTGATTAAATTGTGATGCCACCATATCTCGCGGCACTGCTGAGTCAAGGGGCTCGGCGAGCGGCCAAGTTTGTGATTTTATAAATACTTAAGGACATTTACGACTGGCGTTGAGAGAGCCGATGCGTGCGTGAGGCGTGAGAGATCGTACGAGAGCGTGGGAGAGAGAGAATGAGAGGGAGAGACTGAAACGAGGAGAGTGGAGAGACGGGCGGCGATGGCGGCGAGGATAGCGAAGAGAATTTTCCAAGGTGGACACACACACGGGAAGGCTTAACTATCACAGCTGTCGTAAGGTCAGATCAGCATGTATACCTCTAGAACGTAAGAGCGTAGTTGATTAGCGCATAGGCTAGGCTAGGGTCCGCCCCTCTATAGGAATCTCTTTGTCGATACTTGGGGAGCTGCGAAACCGGTGACACTTGGTTCGAGGTGAGGGACCTTCTCCGTAGTACCGGAGACACGAATACCGGAACAACGGAACGAACAACAGTGAGAATGAGAATGAGAATATGTGGGAGAAGTAGAGAGTGAGTGAGCGAGTGAGTGTGAGAGTAAAAGTGGGAAAATGAGAAAATGTGGCGTAAAGGTGGATCGAAAAGCAACGAGATACGGTGCAATAGCGAGGCTCGCAGTTATACTCGAAACGCGTGCGCGCGACGAGCCGAACATTATCGTTTTCCTTCGCTCGTAGCGCACGGGTAGACCATTGTAAATTTTCTTTCTTCGGAATAATATTTATTGCGCCGTGGCGAGCCAACGCGACGTTTTAAGTGTAAAATACTGTCATTACTTATCGCTCGGATTATCGCGAATACCGTGTATATTGATTGCGATCACGATTATTCTCTATACGATTAGCGCGAGAAGGAGCGGCACGAGAGGCGAAGAGGAGGAGGAGGAGGAGGAGGAGGAGGAGGAGACGTAGGGAGGAATTTCGATTTCGAATTTCCCTGTTCACGTGACGTACTCCAGCGTGTGTCGTCTTGTGCCCGCGTGCGATCGAAAAGCGGAAGAACGTGAGAGGAGGATATCGAGGCGCGAACCGGGCAAAGATCGGACCGCTGCGAGAAAAACGAAAGAAGAGGATTGCGCGCGCCACAAAGAACGAGAGTGCGAGAGAGTGACGAGGGAGAGCGAGAAAGAGAGAGTGGTGTTTGCGTGCGTGCGTGCGTGCGTGCGTGCGTGCGTGTGTGCGTGGCAGTGGGAGAAGGCGAAGAAAGGATCGGCGACTCGCGCGCGAGGAGATAAGGTAAAGCCGAAGGGTCGACGATTGCGCGCGTTCGAGGACGAGCCGGCGCGGTTTTGGAGCGGAACACACTTGTATACGTATTTCTTGTAAACTCTAATTCTTCCATCGCGGACTTTAAAAGTATTTATCGATATACCGATAATATTAATATTATTATTGTAATTATATACGACTGCTGAGAGTGTGGCGGAGATACGAGTAAACGAGGTCTACGTGGATGCGACACGCGGCATACGCGCGCAAGCGAACGCGGCGCGTGCACACTTTGCGAATACGAGAGAAAAGAGAAAAAAAGGAAGAAACGTGGAATAGCCAACTGTGCGAAAAATACGCTCGAAAAGTACCTACCTACTTACAAATGCGCAACCACAAAGATATGCATCATGTATACGCGACTCTTGAAACCATTTTACCAGATTTGTCATTATTTAATTATTTCGGTTGTATTTTAAAATGCAATTAAAGCTCAAATAAATATATATGTTATAAAGTAACACTCTGCCGCAACGTTTTCTTCCCCCCTCAGCCGTAGCGAAACAGACGAGTGTTCGGACAGAGAGGGGAGGGGAGGGAGCGTAGCTAATTCGATGGGACGCGATGTCGACTAGGACGTACGTATGTACGGTGTCGGTACCGGAGACACAGGAGACCCGTATAATATCGCGAAAGAATAGGCGGGGGCGATGGATAAACCGCGTTACCAACGTAGAAATCGCTTATCAGCCAAAGGACCTCTCGCGAGATACGACCTGAAGCAAGGTCGTTCGGCGAACCTCCGGGTGGAGCAGCGTTCGCTAAATATCTACCTAGCTTCTCTCCGCATTTAGATTCCCGCGTTCTCGATCTGGCGACCAGATCGGATTTTTCTTTCCTCGAATTCCGCGGCGTTACTCGCGGGACGGGGCAGCGAAGCGGCGGAAGGAGAAGGGCCGGGGAGGTGTCGTGGAGAGGGGCGGGAAAGAGAAGAGGGCTTACGGAGCTCGCCTACCCGTTGCCCGGGGCTGGTAATGAATTCGTCTAATGGGTCGTAAAGAATGCGATCTTATGGAGCGGAGAGGATAAAATAAAACACCGGTGGAGAGGCTACCGATTCTCGAACGGTCCTTGAAGTAACCCTCGCTTTAAAGAAACGAGCCCTTGTCTCTCCTTTCCTCCCTTGCTCGCCCGTTTACACGCTTACGTTCGCGTGGATTCACGACGCGCAAAATAAACTCCCTCTCTCTGTCCGCGTCCTCCGATTTTCCCCGTTTCCAGGAACGTCCGGGTAGACGCCTCACCGGAGAACGAGAGCAAAAGCGTTCGAGAAGCCCACCAAAACCAAAGGGTCCGGAGATCGAGCGATCCGATAGCTCGAGATTTGTAGGGGTTCTGGTCAACCGATAACCGAGCCGCTAGCTGTTTTCGCGCAAGACACCCTTTTCCTCCTCCTCCTCCTCCTCCTCCCCCTCCTTCGTCTCCTCCTTTTTCGCGTTCACCTCGATCGCATCCGCTCGGAGCATCCTACGTGCGTGCGTTCGTCTGCGTGATTCAGGGGAGAATTCCTCTGCCGGTGGATGATGAAGATGTCAGTTGGCCGGGAATGCGTGGGAGAGCCAGCTGGATGGCCGGTGGGTGTTCGCACTCTCCTCGCGCGTTCCGTCCTTTCCGCCTCTATCTCGCCGTTTGACTTCTTGCTCCCCTCCGCGCGGACCCCTTGCCCGTTCGTTGCTGCTCGTCTCGTTCCAATTTAGTTTCGTAAGATACGCGCGATCTGTACATCTACTTTACGACGGTCGCGCGCGCGCATGCTAAGAGACCACCGCGCAAAAAGAAGTGGCGCGCTCGCGGGGTAAGGGTAAGGCGCGTCTGATCGCGGATCGCGACCGCCTCGTTACATTTGTTCCTCACTTTACACGGGACCCGTGCACCGTGAACAACAGGCTTGAGCCCGCGCTCCAGTGATAAAAAATACTCGGG